TGTAAGTGATTAATTAATAAATTTCCATTTTTTTTGCATATTTTGTTGTTTTTATTGCATATTTTTAGCGCATATTTAGCGATAGTTAAGGTCATATATTATAGCGCATATTTATGCAATTTTAAGTGCTATAAAATCCCAACCCTGGTCATAACGAAAGAAAGAAAAATCTTTCTTACAAACAAAAGAACTGATTGGGATCTCTTTAGGAGTGCTCTCGAAGAAACCATCACTCTCTCAGTTAAGCTAAAAACATCATCATGCGGTAGTGCAAAAATTAACTAATGACGTTGCTGAGGCAACAAGAGTGGCCACACCCATAATTCATGTAGGAATTAATCGGGAAACCACTTACCCAATTGAAATAAGAGAACTTGTTCAACAAAAGCGTAAGGCGAGAAGAACCTGGCATAGAACGCGACATCCAGCGGATAAAATCAAATGGAATCGTATTAGTAAAATTTTACGTGAGAAAATCAACAAAATGAAAAACAAAACATTCAAATCTTATCTGATTGGCTAATCCGCAAAGGACGATACAGATTACTCTCTGTGGAAATCTACAAGACGCATTAAAAGACATCGTGAACATGTTCCACCTATCCGTAAGGTAGACGGTACTTGGGCACGCAGTGAGAAAGATAAAGCCGAAGTATATGCTCAACATCTTGAGAGTGTATTTCAACCAAATAATATCGCTTCTGAACTTGATATGATACAATGTCATATCGTATGAAAATGTTCACAAATATCTACTTTTTTTGTATCTCAGTTAATATCAACAAACCGTATAGTTATTGACATTTTTTCTACTCTACTTTTATCGGGAGTACAATCTACAATTATTGAATAATACTTAGCATTTTTTAACTTTTCAAGTATTTGTTTTTTAATTGCTTGAGAAGGTAAATGTATAATTTCATTTTGAATCCCCTTACCTAGATAATGATTATGAATCTCCTTATTTTGAATTCTGCGAACATGTTCTGATAAAACACTATCAAATTTTGCCAGCAGCTGTACTAATCCGAGAAAATTGCCATTATTGTTTTCGTAAAGAACATCGTTTGTTCCTCGAAGAGGTAAACTTTGTTTACCAAGAAATTCAATGATTGCCATTAAACGTTCAAGTACATTTTKCCAATACCGAGTTTCATTATTTAATACACGTTGATGGGCAGCATCTATAGTTTGATTGCTATTTAATCTAGCAGACAGTTCCATCCATTTTTTTAAAGAATTAAAATGTATTTTGCTTGTTTCATGTTCTTTAACTATATTGTGTACATTTTTCCAATCATTACAGCCAAATTTAGTCAGTGCATAATTTTCACTACTAAATATTTTACAACAAAAACAGTACACAACGTCATTTTTAACAGATTAAATTAACCACGTACGTTCTATAACTTCACCATTTTTTAATGCTTTACTTAAAATTGAAATTGGAAACCGTCGATTTAACGCATCTCTAGGATATTTGAAATCTTTATTTGGTTTAGTGGGACTTGTTTTTACTAATTGAAGTCGTAATGAATCTGAAAAAATCGCTGGCCATGTCCCGAGGTCAGATATGTTGTTTTCATTTTCATTATATTTAATACTCGTATTTTCTTCCAAAGTTGTGTTTATTTCATTATTGAAAATGTCAATGCTATCGGAAATTTGTTTTGAATTACCAACTTCTTTTAAACTGTCAGTAACTCCTAAGGTATTTGGTTCTTCTAAAATAATTTTAGAATCTGTTTCTGGATTATTTAAAACTTCATTATTTTTTTTCAAATATTTTTCAAAGGAACCAGAGTTTTTTTTTTAATTTCTTCATCACGTTTTAATTTTTGTTTTCGATATGCAGCTCCTGATAACCGTATACGTTTTTGCTCTGACATATTCAAAAAATATTAACGTGATAATTCAACAAAATTAATACCAATTAAGTGTTGCAGTTATAAATTTATTTTGATAAAAATTTTACACGTTCATGCACTTGATCCACTATCACTATCACTCTACAGGTCTACGGCAAAAATTATTTACGTGTTAGTCGGGCTGCTGAAAGTCCGGGACTAAATGCGGTTAGCCGTTGTGTCATTGACCATTATTTTTAAATTAAATAATAATTCTAAATTCGATAAGAACGTGCATTCGTCTGTAGTCGACTAATGCATGTACCACCGTTATCGCCGTTTTATTATATTCATGCAGTATTACGACTTTAGTGCGTTCTCGGTAAACTGTTTTTGTATATTTTGAACAATGAACATACAATTAAGCTTACTATATTATATTATATATATTATAATAATTAAATCACTTTGGTTCATTTGAAATTTGCCGCCCCTCGCACTAGTGCCGCCCTAGGCGGCTGCCTATTTTGCTACCACATTGATCCGGCCCTGGCCAAGGGTACGATAGGTGTACTTACAATACATTGTGTAAGACCAACCGGTGTAAATGTAAAAGATCTGGTCGTTGCAACTCAAAGTGTCATAATAGTGGCGTATGTGGTAATAAATAAAACAAATAAATAATAATTTTAATTTAATAATAAATAAATTAAATATTAAAGCTGTGCAACTTTATTTATTTTTAATATCTTTATTTTTAATTTTTTTATATGATATTCAATATTTAATCTACTGTGCCCGAATCTAATTGGACACAATGCCCGACTTTCTACTTTGCCTATAACATATATATGAAAAGGTCACCCAGTCCTTTGCAGATCACATTGTTATTTTATATTATTATTATCACCATCCAAGGCCAACCGCCACCCCCGCAGGAGCCTTGTGGTACATTTCTGGTAGCAGAGCGTGGTTTCTTTTTACGTATATCTCGTGTTATAACAAATCTTGTATACCTATCGGTACAGTCGTTAGCCGCGCCGGTCAGTGTGACATATTGCAATCGGGTTTTTGAGGTGTTAAATTAATTACGTCGTTGAGTTAGTTGGTCATTAGTAGAAATAACTCTTTCTATCTACTCGCTATCGATTGTCGATAGTGAACGGATAACGGTCATTGCCTTATTAGCGTTACATACGAGTCGTACGACGCACTAATACGTGCAGTATTATATCGCGTATATTTTATTAATTGTATTATTTATATTACATTTATATTTAACTGCCTACCTTTCTGCGCATTATACATTTTTTTTTTGCGACGGACGAGCAGGAAGCCCAATTCTTGATATGGTACTTGCGCATGCGCAGAAAGGCCACGGTTCAGTTCTGTGTTTAGACGCTTCTATAAATAATCTCTATCACTGATAAAACAAAACAGATAACAAATTGAATTAACCATGCTACCAACTAGTGCTACCAACCAATAACAATGCTTTATGCCGAACCATAAAATAGAAATTAATAAACAAATTATAAAAAACAGTAAAAACACATAAACACGTATTAGCTCATATTTTTTAAAAAAGAGTACAATTTCATGTACTTAACACTATTGTTAAGGGCACTAGKACACACATCAAAAAAGAGTACTGTCCTGCGAAAAAGAGTATGTCTGGTCACCATAGTTATACTGTTATCAGTTATTTACCGTTATTTATTTTAATTCCTTAATAAATTATGTTAATGCTTTATACAGAACAACTTTTTATTGGTAGTGCATTTAATTCCTTGTATATAATATATTCTGTGTGATACAAATAATTCTTACTTAAAGTAATTTTTATTATTTGATTTGATATATTTTTTGATATAATTTTGAATAATAGATTTAGTGTTGTTTTGTAGGCACCTCACCAAATAGTATAATACCATTATGGTATTACCATATAGTTTAATTAAGGATTCTATAAGAAAATTAAGAACTCATATGAATATATAAATCTAATTTTCTTAGGTAATTTCTTATAAATTACCTAAATTTTGAAAACAAAGATTATATTTATTAGTTTTATTGTTGTTTGTTATATGTGATGGGTTTAAGTGTGTGGGTATACAATATATAAAACTGAAAATATATTATAAGTAACATATTATTAATTAAATTAAAATTTGATTGTCTAAGTTATAATTTATTAAATGTATTTTAGTATATTTATATAAGTGATTATTACTGTATTAATTACCATATTTTCTACCTTATTTATTAAAAATTATACCTAATCTAAAGATTTAAAAAGTAACTAGGTTTCATGTATATTTACAGGTGATACCCTATATTTATTATTTCAATACATATATTGATATATGTAGTACTAACGGGTACAATAAGCACAACTTAAAAATATAAAAAATACTTAATTTTTTTTAAGTTTAAAAACAATATTGTTTCTTTATCTTAAGTAGGCTAATAATTAATAAATAACTGCTTAACATTACAATAGTTTTTTATTAAATGTTAAAATAAAATTACCAAAAAAAAAAAAATGTTTAATTGTTACTTAGAAAACATACTTGATGCAAGACACAGATCTAAGTTGGCTGAGCAAACATCAGATGTTGATGGAATAATACAGCATAATAAAAAAAGAAGATCAAGGAAAAAAATAATTTTAAAAATTCTTCATCAAGCTCTTCTGAAGATAATTATAATGATGAACCTTGCGCATTTAATGATTTACCTATCTATTCATCAGATTCAGGTAATAGTAAATAATTTAATTTGAAATTATTAAAAATTGTATGATTTACCTATATATAAAGGCTAAATAGATAAAATAGATAAATTTTAAATAATTGTTTCTAAATTATAATTACCTGTATAATATTCTATTCAGATTAAAAAAGTTGCTTGCCATATTTCTGACACTGAATTTTAGGAGAATATTGAGCCATCATCATCTACTGCTATGAAAATGTCTATCAATATGAATCATTSATGATAATATCATCAATCTTTTATATTTTATCTTTTATCTTTTATATTAATAAATAGTATTTTTTGAGAAAAGCTATGTAAATATCTAGTTTTGAATTAACTGTAGCTATGTATACAGAAACATGACTAATAAATTAGTTTTTAAACTGAATACTAATGATCTTTTATTCATATTATTTTTAGATTCTTGCAATATGTCAGTTACTGAAACTTCTGAAACCTTAAGTTCAACAATTATTATGGACAATGATGCAACTACACCAAATTGCAGGGAAATAATACTAAAACCTAAAAATTTGTTTAATAACGCCAAGGTACCTTAGAGGAAATAAAAACATATCGTGTTAATGATCTAACTCCTCGAAAGTCATTGTTATATCATGCTTCTCAAAGATACAGACAAAGAAATTCAGTTCTTCGACAACGTTCTTTAACTGCAAAGCAGCGCATTTTAAAAGCTGAAAGATATATGCAAACAAATATAAAATCAATGGGTAAATTAAACACATTTACACAACAGTTTATTCAATCCCAGATACGTATGCCACCTCAAAAACCTCGAGGTCGACGTTTTACTACAGATGACAAGGTATTTGCTTTATCTCTTTATAAACAAAGTGGTAAAGCATATAAAAGCATATAAGGTACTTTCGAAAATGTTTGCATTACCCTCACGGAAATGTATTTTGGATTTGTTAAAGAAGATTCTATTTGAAGCCGGTATAAATAAACGTATTTTTGAAAATCTCAAGACAGCTGTATAGAAAATAAAGCATAAACTTGATCGCTATTGCACAGTGGTTTTTGATGAGATATCACTTTCGGCGTCATTGCAGTATTTGGAACAATATGATAAAGTGATTGGGTTTAAAGATTTTGGTGGACAAAATCAATCATCTGATTTTGCAGATAAAGCTTTAGTTTTTATGGTCAGAGGGTCACGTAAAAAGTTTAAGCAGCCAGTTGTATTCTATTTAACTAATGGTAACATGGACAGTACACATTTGTCAATTATTATCAAAGAAGTTATTAAAGCTGTTCAATTGACAGGACTTACAGTGGTATCTGCCGTGTGTGATCAAGCTCCTACAAATGTTGCAGCAATCAACCGATTACTCAAAGAAATGAATGAGAAGTATGTAACAGAAGGTAAACAAAGTAGAAGATTTGGTTTTGAAATAGGAACTCAAGACATTATACATCTCTATGATGTACCTCATTTGTTGAAAGGTCTGAGAAATAATTTAGTTTCAAAAGATCTTCATTTCACATATGACGATAAAAATATGATTGCATCATGGAAACATCTCATTCAGTTTTATGAAATGGACAAAAACCAAAGTACTGGAGGGGATCGTCAAGCTCCTAAGCTTACAGATAACCATATAATATATCCTCAAAAAATGAAAAAAATGAAAGTTTCGTGTGCCGCTCATGTGTTTAGCCAAAGAGTTGGTGCCATTATGAAAAGGTTGCCTTTTATGTTAAATACATCAAACGAAGAGTGTCCAGAAAATAAAATAGTTCAATCTTCTGTAGAAGATACTGGATACTTGTGTTTATTTATTGATAACTTATTGGATAGTGCCAATGGTAATACAACTCAACCAGTTGCTGAAAAAGAATTGCGAAGTGCGGTTTCTTTCAATTCTGCCCACTGGGACTTCTAGCGCAAAGTTTTAATTGTTTTACAAAGTATGCAGTATGAAACAAAAACCAAAAAAGTAATTCCTTCTGTTGTAAACTGGATTAAAACTATTAAAGGATTACAAGCACTTTGCACAAAGCTTCTTAATGATGGGTTTAAATACATAGTCTTGAGAAATTTTAACCAGGATCCAATTGAAAACTTTTTTGGTTCGATACGGGGCCATGGTGTACGTAATATTAAACCAACGTGTGCCAACTTTATTTCATCATTCAAGGCACTACTTATTAATAATTTTACTTCAAGTCACTCATTTGGGTCCAACTGTGAAAATGACGACTGTGATGGAGCTCTAGACAACCTAAAGGATTTTTTATTCAATGATATTCCAATTGAT